TGAATTTCATGTTTTTTTTTTTTTTTTTTTTTTTCGGACTATATCTTTGTATGTGTGAAAGTGTGTGTGTGAGTGTGTGTAATACTGTGTATCACACTATGTGTTTATCAACTTCATGTGTGTGTGTGTGTGTACGACAGTTGTTGCATTGACATCATTTCTGCAGCTGCTGCAGGGGTTGCATAAGCTGCTGCAGCAGCAGATGCACCACACCTGACTACTGCTGCAGTTGCCACAACAGCTGCAGCAACTGTTACTGCTGGACCCCGACCACAGCCCAAAGGTTGTGAGGGCAGTTAAAGTCTGTTGGGGGGTTTTAGGGGCGGTAAGAACAGTTAGGGGCAGTTAGGGGCAGTTAGGGGAGGGTGGGTAACAGGTGCGGGTGGTTACAGGTAGGCGCATACAATTGTGGGGCCAGTTACAGGTGGACACGGGTAAGGAAAACTTGGGTTGGGTATGGTACGGGTGGTTAACACACGGATTGGGTTCAGTTAGCCATGGTTGGTTTGAAAAAAAAAAAAAAAATCCGGGCGGTTATGGGCAGTTACAGTCTGCAGAGGTTCAGGTAGGGGCAGGTACAGGTACACGTTTTTTTTTTGGGGATCAGTTGGAGGTAGGTAAAGGTGCGGTAAGCCAGGTATACAGTGGTTATGGTTGGTTGGTTTTCGAAAAGTGTGTGGTTGGTTTAGTTACAGGTATTCCTAAAAATCCTGGTTGCGAACTCTGGTCTGCGGGTATGCAATCCTGTATGGCATGCTTTTGCAGTTGTCACATTAAAGCCATAGCCCTTTACTAGGTTCTGCAACACAAGAGAGAGAGAGAGAGAGAGAGAGAGAGAGAGAGAGAGAGAGAGAGAGAGAGAGAGAGAGAGAGAGAGAGAGAGAGATTGCAAACGAAGATGGACTGAAGGATGGAAAAGGAAAGGCCGAACAGAGTGGGTGTGACATTAAGCCGTGAACCTGGATTACAGGACGCTGACTGGTGTATGTTTCCACATTCTATTAAAATTTATTTCGCTCGCCACGCCACATCCCAAATGTGGAGAAGACAGACTAAGAAAGGTGTATGATTTCCACATTCTAGTAAAACATACGTACTCTATTTTGCTCATTTGGTGAGTAGTTCGGCAAGGCCCCAAAGCACTGCAATCAGCGGCAATACCTTGTCCTCTTTTATCCGCCACCTCCTGTGCCTCCTGAACCCTCCTCCCTTCCTATCTCTTCCTCTTTGCATCTTCTTCTCCTTAAATCACCACTGCCTTTCAGGCTGGAAGACGAAGTCATAAATATAACCTATACCGCATTCTTCGGAGGCCGCCGGAGGTCGGGCGTTACCGGGCCTAAATGGCTAGCGGTGCCAGCCAAAACAAAACAAAAAAGGCCGCGCTGGCCGCTCGGCAAAAGCTTGGCACGCAGCCGTACTTCGCCTCGGCAAAAATTTGACAAAGTCCACTTTCATGAATTTAGAAAGATAAAAAAATGTCAGTTTTAATGAAATGTTTTTAACGAAATGTCAGTTCTGTTCACTTTATTGATTTATGTGATTCTGTTTGTCTGGTTGCGTCTGGCTTCAAACTCAGGTGAGTCGGGTCTGTATTTTGACCGGTCATGGGTGTGCCAACTGAGCAAGGCCGGTTCATATATATGTTCTCCTCAAAAGTTTTTTCCTCATCTCTCAACTTCATTTTCACTCTTTTCGCCCAAGTCAACTTCCCCTTTTCACTTTTCTTGAACCCTGTTCCTTTTCCATTTGCCAGCTTGCCTTTTCCCCCCGAAAGCGAGTCATATTTGTAAATCAACACAGTCGTTATCAAAACCTCCCATAGCTGACTCCCTTACGAAGAGAGAAAAATAGTAAAATACCTCACCTTCTCTATTATTGAATATATCTAATACCCCAAGGGGCTCCATCAGAATGGGCCACAACTAATGAACCCTTCGATGCCTCTTTAGCAGTCTTTACCCTTTCCCAATCCACTACTACCTTCCTCTCCCAGTATTTTACTCATCTGCTTCCAGTCGAGTTCGAACTCAGGTCTCCATTTCAACAGTTCAGTGGTGTTCCAACTGAGCTAGGCAGGTTGGTACTACCTCCCTCTCCCAACCTGTCAAAAAAAAAAACTGTTCTTTGATCTTTCTTTTGACCTCTGCCGTGTGAAGCAGAAGATCACAGGTGACTTCCCCCCACGACTGAAGGGGAAAAAAAAAAGAAAGGGCAACAGCGGCAACGGCCTTTAAATATCATCATTTGAACGGACTGGCCCTTGGTACTTCAAATTTGCAGTACTTTTTACGAGTGAGGAAATGGCGGCAACGGCCTTTGAGGTCTGCTTCATCTGCTTCGACTGGAGATCGAACTTGGGTCTGTATTTCAACAGGTCAAAGCAAAAGACCTCATAGCCATTTTAACGACCGAGCTAGGCCAGTTGGTGACCCCCCATACTTCAAATTTGCAGTACTTTTTACGAGTGGGGAAATGGTGGCAATGGCCTTTGAGGTCTGCTTCATCTGCTTCGACTGTAGGTCGAACTTAAGTCTGTATTTCAACAGGTCAAAGCAGAAGACCTCACATCTGCAGACCTCACAGCTGCAGACCTCACAGCCATTTTAACGACTAAGCTAGGCCAGTTGGTGACCCCCCATACTTCAAATCTGCAGTACTTTTTACGAGTTGGGCAATCGCGGCAACGGCCTTTGAGGTCTGCTTCATCTGCTTCGATTGGAGGTCGAACTTAGGTCTGTATTTCAACAGGTCAAAGAAGCAGACCTCACAGCTGCAGACCTCGCAGTCATTTTAACGACCGAGCTAGGCCAGTTGGTGACCCCCCCAACGACTTATCGATGTTATCATCCATCAGGCCACGCTACCAGCCGGGCCGCCCGGGTCACCTTGTTTTCCCAGGCAGCCCGGCAGTGCCAGGTACAGGGAAGGTCCCAGCAAACAAAAAAAAAAAAAAAAAAAAAAAAAAAAAAAAAATGTTATGCAAAAAAATAAACTGAACAACTTTTGCCTCCGGGTCACATCGAAATTCTATACCAAATTCAAAAAATAAAATAAAAAACAATTAGAAAATATATTTTTATTTTCATTTTTTTTTGCCCGGCCGGGCAAGTGGTCACGGGCCACTCTGGTAGCCTAGCAATCAGGCGAATTTGAATTTTGCCACAAAGCTGCAGTCCTCTC